GCTTGGTGTGCAGCATGGGAGAGTTGCAGGGAAACTTTGAAAGTGGCAGATAGAGGTCCTTGGATAGTGTACCCTAGGAGTCCTGCAGAGGGACAGATCCACAAGGAGAAAGACAGGCTGGCCTCTGAAGTGGCAGCCACTGAGACTGATGCATCTCTGAAAGTAAGCGCATCTGAAAATGAAGGGCAGCTCTGGATTCCTCTGAGGAATGGTTAGGCTCTGTGCTCTGCCATCCCTCAGAAGGTCAGAAAGGCGCTCACTGATAGATGTTCGAGGAGGGAGCTGCTTGTTGGTTTCCAGCCGCTGGCTGGCTTAGACCCAAAGTAATCACACAGAAACCATATTATTTAAATCACTGCTTGGCCCATTAGCTCTAGCTTCTTATTGGCTAACTCTGACATCTTAATTTAACCCATCTCCATTAATCTGTGCATCACCACGAGGTCATGGCCTACTGACAAAGTTTCAGCATGTCTGACTCTGGTGGTGGCTCCATGGCTTCTCTCTGACTCCGCTCTTCTCCTCCCATGCCATAGACCAAGCAGGTTCTTTATTCATTAATCAATAAAGGCAACACTTAGACAGAAGGACCTCCCACACCAGATAGAGAAGTCAGAGAGCCTTGGAAGAAGGCCCGCTGCCTGTGGCCTTACAGCCTAACCAGACTTTAGTTTTCTTTCTCAGTTATCCACCCCATTTCTTGGCGTTGCTTCTAATGTTATACTTTCTGTGAATCATGCCCTAACTTGTTTTTTGCTTTCTTCTTTTCAGTCTTAAGATCCTTGCCCGTTTAATGACGGCGAAATTCTTGCATACAGAAATTCGAGAAAAGGGGGGTGCCTATGGTGGAGGTGCTAAACTCAGCCACAGCGGGATTTTCACGCTTTACTCTTACAGGTGAGTCTCTGAGTGGTCCTGTTTCCTGTGTGAAAGCACCCACATTCCAGCCGCTGGCTCTGTTCACTCAAAGTGTCACTATTCCATGTGAACACTGGTTCAGTGAAGGTTACATCTGTTCATTTGGTCCCTGTCTTGAGCAACTAACCTCCAAACTGTGTCCTTCTTGCAGCAAGGATCAGACACAGTGGTGTAAGGGTTGTGTTGTTGCACCGTTTACATTAGACAAAATTCTCGCTTCCTAATCAGATTGTTTTTGTAGAATGCAATCAGCGGCTTCTGAAGGTACTTCTGTTGTAGAAACCTAATCAGGATATGGTTCATTGGGTTTTCACAGGTGCGAGACTGTTGTTACACTAAGATTTTCTGTAAATGTCAGTCTCTCAGGCACTATTTCCTGAAGCCTTGTATGCCAACGTGCTAAAAACAAGGCCTTGCCACTGATGTCGTTTTCCTTGTCCTGACTGGACCACAGAACTGCAGGCAGGGAGAGGCTCAGTGACAAGTCCTCAGTCCTTGGTGGTGAGCTTAAAGGGCTAAGAGGAGATTTAGACACAAGAAAGTACTGCAGAAATCCCCCAGCTCCCACTCATTTCTGGACGTTCTGGGTTTGTCCTGGGGAAACAGGGACTGGTTGAATGTGTTTCTTTTCCACGGCTTTTCTATAAAGTCTCGGTATTCCTGACACCCAGCCATCCATGTGACTTCCTCTCTAGATGAAGTCACAGTCGAGCAGTGGGGTGAGCAAGTGACTGGGGTATTAAATGGAGTGTGTGCTGTGAATTGTTATTTTTATCAGATTTCAATTCCCCAGAGACATTGCTCTGTCAGTGGGCTGTGTAGAGTGTAGACTATCAGATTAAAAACAAAAACTAAAGCTGTTAAGTCCACGTGATTATCATAGATTCCCCCACCCCCATCCCCAATATAATGCTTCAGTATTGGCTCTTTCGGGTTCCCAGGGATCCAAACTCCATAGAAACACTGCAGTCTTTTGGGAAGGCTGTAGACTGGGCTAAGTCTGGAAAGTTCACCCAGCAAGACATCGATGAAGCCAAGCTTTCTGTTTTCTCTGCTGTGGATTCTCCTGTTGCCCCATCGGAAAAAGGTACTTCACGTGCCGGTAACCTGGGTGCATGGTGTCCTGGGGCAGAATTCCAGACAGTTTTCTTAGTCATGGGTCTGACTGACATGAATGAAACACAGTAGCAGCTATGTTCTTTCAGAGTCTCCCATCTCTGTCCTTTGTGTTATGACTTTCACACTTGACCTCCTGAACACTGACCTTAAAAACACCTCCACCAGTAAAGTACTTGTTAAGCCGGAGTTCAGACCTGAGCTGAATCCATGTAAAACTTCAGGCAGGTGAAAGCACAGGGAAGTTGAGGACAGGTAGATCCTTGAGGCTCACTGGTCAGCCAGCCAGCATATGTACCCTACTTGGTGAGCTCCCGGCTAGTGAGGGAGACGCTGTCCCAAAAACCAAAGTGGGCGGAGCTGACTGGATGGCTCAGCAGTTAAGTGTGGTTATTGCTCTTGTAGAAGATCTGGGTTTGGGTCTTAGCATCTGACTCTGGCAGTTCACACCCACTTGTAACTTAGCTCCCTGGGGATCTGATAGCTAGTTTGAGTAAAGGAAGGCATGTTGACACAGCACAAGACTGGCCACATTGTTATTCAATGCTGCTTTTCTTGGTAGTATTGTTACCCATGTGACCTATACTGACTCTTCATCGGTACTCTGAGGTGGATGTCAAGTTGAATCTCTCTTGCACACGTAACCTTTTGGATTGAGGAGCACACCGAAAAGTGACATGAGTGTCCCCACTATATTTTGAGCACAAAGGCCCCTGTGCAAGCCATTTCCCCACCCATACTTCGGGTTTTAATTTTCAGGAATGGACCACTTCTTGTATGGCCTCTCCGATGAGATGAAGCAGGCACACCGGGAACAGCTCTTCGCTGTCAGCCATGACCAACTGACCTCTGTGAGCCATAAGTGAGTATGTGTGCCCTGGCTTCCTATGTTAGCTGGGGGAGGGGAACTCGGAAAGGCGAAGGCTTCCTGTTGATCACTGAAAAACTACAAAACGGTCCGATGTGCCATCTTCCTTGCAGGTACCTTGGCATCGGGAAGAGCACACACAGCCTGGCTATACTTGGACCAGAGAACCCAAAAATTGCCAAAGACCCATCGTGGATCGTAAGATAATGAGTTTCACATATTTCTGAGTCTCTGTAAGAAGCCAGAGGCTCTTAAAAACTAAGCCTCTGAACCAAATTTAATTTGAATGATCACAAGGGTTGCTGGTTTTGTTTTCATTGTTGTTCCAAACATCATAGTTATATGAAAAATCTGACCAAAGATGTTTATCAACTTGCAAGTTGGGCAAAAACTCTTCAGAAAATACTGTGACGAAGAAATTCGTTGACACTATCATGCATTAAATGGCAAAAGTGAAAAATTAAAATTCTGAAATGTTACTAAGCCTAGAACATTTATTTTAAAAATAAAAGTCACCTCTGACTTACCTGGGCTTTAGTCATTATTTTAAACATCTTACTACTTTAAAAATAGTTTTTGGGTCTTCATTCTTAAAAAAAAAAAAGAAGAATGAATGAATGAATGAATGTTCCTTTGGAGAAATAGCTCAGCAGCTAAGAGCACTTGCTGCTCTTTCCGGAGACCAGAGGTGGGTTCCCAGAGCCCATGGAGCATCTCATATCAATCATCTCTAACTTGTTTCTGGGCGTCTGGTGTCCCGCTGCATGAATTTGGCAAAGCATTCATACACATAGAATAAACCATCTTTTACAAGGACTATATGAAGAGATGTAGAGGCCAGCATGGTGCCTGTGTGATCACGCCATAGACCAGAGGGAAAGTGCAGGCTGTCCAGTGAGCATCCACCCTCCAGAGCTAGTTGCGCTAAAGTCAACTCAAGCTTTTGACCTGTCTTTACTGAGACAGGAAGAAAGTTTCTTTATTGTTTTATCCTCAAACACAATTGACTTTTAATCACCCCTCTTCTCTGTACAATTTTCCTCATTGCTGCTGTATTGATATCTAGAGGGTGCCTTTAGGTAGGAGAACAGCTAGACTAGGGACAAGAGGCAGGGGTGCTTTACCCTGCAGACAGCTCATCTTTTTGGAGCTTAATGGCGTGGAGTGGAGGGGCTATTGCTTAGGACCCCATCATTAACCCTGAACAGTGAGTAGCATCTTTCACAGAGTGAGAGCCTGGCTTCCACTCAGCCCCAGTGCTTTGGAAGAAGCTGCTTTTCATATTGCCCTTCTAAACCCCCTAGTGGCCGCGGTGTACACCTGGGGCTGAAACTGAGAACGTAAGATATCTCACTCTTAATTGTGGGTTCATAGCTGTCATTTTAAAATTCTATGCATGACCTCATTTTAAAAGAACATCTAAGAGTAGCGATGTACGTGTAAATAACTGAAATCATAAACCTGGAGTTAATAATGTTCTCCACCTGTATGATCATCACTGTCAAAGTCCCAGACCAGCATGGTGTGTGTGTGTGTGTGTGTGTGTGTGTGTGTGTGCGTGTGTGTGTGTGTGTGTGTGGCGGGGGGATAATCTGCACACGTATGCATGTGGAGGTCAGGAGAAGACTTCCCGTGGTGGCCTTCATTAAGCATCATCTACCATGTTTTGTTCTGTATTTTGAGACAGGGTCTCTCACAGGCCTGGAGCTTACTAAGCAGGCTAGGACTGCACACCAGCGACATGTCTGTCTCTGTTAGTACATGCTACTACACCTAGTTTTTTGAAATGTGTCCTGGGGATCTAACTCCGGCTCTGACCCATCCCTTTCAGTACAGCCCACAGGAGTGCCCAGTGTGCGCTTAATGGCACACAGCTGGGGTTGATCACAGCGTCTCTTTCCTCTCAAGACTCTGTTTGCTTAGTCCCTATCTGTACCTGCCCCTGGGATATCTAAGGAGACTTTTCTAACCTCTGTCCAGAAAACTGCCGAGGAAACTGTCAGCAAGAAAAAAGCATCCTGAAGTTTTAGCCTCCTACTTAGAACAATGAACTACTGAAAAAAAAAAATAAACAAGAAACAATAAAGGACCATGGGAGTTGTAGCCAAATGTTTAATTCCACAAGACACACATGGTAAAGCACAAGACAGTACCCCGTACAGTAGAAAACAGACACTGGATCAAGCACATGGGGGACTGGGTTTCCTTTCTCTGGCTCTGACGGGTTGGTGGTTATGGCAAGTGGTGCTCTCTGATTATCATTGCTGACAATACCCGGTCAACAATACTTGCATAAAGTGCTGATAAATAACTATGTTACAAAAAGCATGGTCCCTGGGGAACGTTACGGGCTTCCCTAGACAAGTGTGTAGGTCAGGGGATAGCATGCTGGATCAGATGGCTGCCGGTTCTCCCTGGGAGGTGGCCTGGTGGTGTCCCAAGGACTCCAGCTTGCCTGCATCCGACACATCATAGCTCGCCTTGTACTTGGCCAAGATCTTCATGAGAGGCCGCAGTTTCAGCCACCACTGCTCCCTGGGGATCCGGTGCCTGGCAGGAAGATAAGTCAGCCGTCAGGTATTCCATTTGTACTGAAGACAACTCCCAACTGCTACAGGTTGCAGGGAGTTGTTTGAAAAGCCTCCCCCTAAAAAGATGGGCTTGGCTTTGTGGTGCAGTCATCTGAATAAACTCGGGGTGATATGGCAACTCTTTCTCATTTCTAAACAAGGTCTTATTATGTAGCCCAGGCTTTAAACTTGTAATCCTTCAGTTTGTCAATCAAATACTAGGATGAAAAGTATCACACCATACCTAGTATATGTGTGTTTGTGTGTGAGAGAGACTGTACATGAATGTCTGTGTCTTTGCATGTGTGTCTGTATATGTATCTGTATATGTATATATGCATGTATGTCACTAGAGATTGAACCTAGGGCCCTATACAGCTAGGTACAATTGCTCCACCACCAAGTTATGTCCTCAGCCCTTTATATGTTTAGTGTTTCCAAGTAAGGTCTCACCATGTTGTCCGATCTGAACTTGAATTTAGGATTCTCCTAAAACAGCCTTTCAGTCCTGAGATTGTAGGCCTGTTCTACCACACCAGAAAAGCTCATAGATTACCTAAAGCAGGTCAGTAAGTGAGCTGCATACAGTAGCCAGGGCAGCACTGGGGATCTGTCCTCACAGCTCCTATTTCTCATTCCTTCTCATGAGATTCAGGTAAGGCACATTGTTGACTTACTCAAAATCAGTTTCTTTCCTCAATTCCGCCACTGGTTGAAACAGAAGGTCTCTTTTGCTTATTCCCAGGACACAAATGGAGTCATCGCTAACAAATTTTTTCCCTGTGGAAAGTTAAAAAAAGAAATCTAAGAGCCACTCAGCATACTGGGTGAGCACATCTCACAGCCTAGGAGAGACGAGACAGCGAAGGGAGAGAAACCACCAGAGAACATATCTGGGTATTGAGAGAGACCTACTCAGGAGTACTTCAGAGACCTTCCCAGGAGTGCTCACTCGGTGCCAAGCCTGGGGGAATGTGGAGTACCCCTGAGAAACAGCCGTCCAGTCTCTCGAGGGGCCTTATACGACCAGGGTCCTTCCCAGACTGCCAACACAGCACTGGTCTTTGAGCTCTGCCTCCTTAGGTCCCTTCAGGGTTCCTCCAGGATGAAGTACAAAGAGGGCTAGATTGTGCTGGGGTCTTCTTTATGGCACACACCCAAAGAGGAGCCCTTTACCTGCCTCCCATCTATAGTACACCTACCGAATATGGGCCACTAGTGGGAGAGGTTCCTGGAAAGGAACATTTTATAGAATGCTGGTCAAGTATTTCATTCACTAAATAGTGTAATAAGAAAATAAGCTCAAATTGCAAGAAGATTTTGCTTTAATAATAAACGCTCAGGGACAAACTGGAAAAGGAAATCTAGGAAGAAAGAAAGAATACAAGAGTATGAAGTGATGTAGAAAAATTATCAGGAGAAAAGAAAGCCAGAGTCAGGATTTCAAAAATACTGAAAGCCAGTTGGAACGATATATGTATATCCATTTTGTAGATTGCCACTTTTGTAACTCACACGTTGATCACCGTGTGGGTCTGTTCTGATGAAGACACACCTAGACGACTGACAGAGAAACCTGAGGGGAGAGGAGGCCAAAAGCCTGGCGCAAACAGCCATTCTGAAAAGCGAATTGGATCTAGGACTGCAGGCCTCAAAAGGGAACGGTGCGAAAAGTTTCCTGCCAAGTTTTGATAATGTAAACGATTTTACATTAAAGTGTCCTAGAAAACGTAAGTCACCAAAGTTTTCAGAGAAAGTGTGTTGCTCCATTCAGCAAGAATGAAATCCATGTCACACTCAAATCTTTCCACAAAGGAAACTGGAGGTCTTGACGGGTGGTTTCACAGGAAGGGTCTACTAAACATCCTGCAAGCTCAACTCCCTTGTCACACAGACTGAAAAGGAAACTGCCCCCCCCTCTTCAGTTTCAGACATGACCCTATGGAAGATACAAGTGGGGAAACAGCTGGCAGATGGTTTCCATCACCAAAACAAGTGTTCTACCCCATAGGATTGTAATGTCTGAGACGTCTCGGTGTCAGTCACGGGCCAGGTGGCCACAGAGGAAACCAGGGTGCCTGTGCGTGAGCAAAGGACTGCTGAGACTTGCTGGCAGCCTGCGCTGAGCATGCATCTGGGCTGGGTGTGGGGGAGGGACAGGCCCCAGACACTACAGCATATTGAGTCCAGCAATCTGGAGACACCTGAAGGGTTAGTTGGTCTGAGCAGTTCAGTTCCATCATGTGTGTTCATCGGTGTGTGAGCAAGACCATCCCAGAAGTAGAGACAGAAGCACACCCTTCCTTCATGCAACCTAGAAAGCCGAGTCAAATTACACTGTGAAGGTGTATTCGCTTCATACTGACATTCTAGAATTCTTGAAGAGATCATAGGAATGGTTCTTGTAAAATCCCAGGGTTACCTCTGAAGGAGAGAATAAGTATTGAAGAAAGATAATATTTAGGACCCACAGCCAGATATTAGTAGAGAGAGAGCCCAGGTCAGAAGTCTCCGTCAGGTCCTTCCCCTTAGAGCTTGGGGAATCCTGAAGAGGAGGGGGAGGAGCCTGTGTGAGTCTGCCCTAGGTCCTCTGCGTATACATTATGGTTGTTAGCTTAGCTTTTGTGGGACTTCTAACAGTAGGAATGGGGACATCTCTGATCCTTGCCTACACTTGGGACTCTTACTGGGCTCCTCACCTAGCCTTGATATGAGGGTCTGTGCCTAGTTTGCTGTATCTCGTTAAGCCACATTCAGTTGATATCCCTGGGAGACCTGCTCTTTTCTGAAGGGAAATGGAGGAGGAGTGGATCTGGGGGAGAGGGAAGGAGAGCCTGAGAGAGGTGAGAGGGGTGGAGGAAAGGAAAACTGTCATCAGGAAGTACTATATGACAGAATAAAGACATCAAAAACTAATATTTAGAGTTTGAAGAAGGAAAGTAGGACAGCCTTCCCAGTCAGTTGCGCACATTTCCCAGCCCTACTAGAAAGTTACCTGTGAATCAAATCAATGAACAACTGTTAGAGAGCCTAAGTAAAGAGATCCTGAATGTGCCTCATGACACCACAGAAATAAATAGAAGTTACATTTTACAGTCTTGCTAATGGCAAGCAGTGTGTGCCTGACAATCTTCTGGATAACAAGAAAGCTACCGAACTACTTGTCACCCATTGCTAACAACAGAAATAAAACATTTATTTTTATTAATTATGTTTCATTATAACCTTGGGAAGTCATAAATGGTATTCAGTACTCACAGGCAAGGAAGGATAAGACAGTACGCCGGGCATCTCGATGGCAGATTTAAAGGAGAGGGAAAGACACCATAGCTTTTACAACACAGGGTTCTCAGTGAGGAAGCCGAGGCACCTCATGCTGTGCATCCATTCTCCCGACAGACTCCTACCTGTTCCCTGGGACCCCTTCAGTTTGTCTGTGATCCACTCCATAGCTCTCGCAGAGATTTTGGTCCCAAAGTTTCTATCGAATGGAGAAGGTGCTCCCCCCTGTGGTGGGCAAGTTATGTGAAATGTAAATCATACAGCAATTTCTCTAAATTTTTTAAAAATAAATAAATAAATAATACCATAACTTAGCAAGATCCATGTGCTGTTCAGAACTACAAATATGCAAATGTGGCCTGGTTTTGCATATAGAGGACAACAGAATTGCAAGTCCTGGAGCCTCACCTCAGCCTGCCATACAACCTTGCAGTGTTCTCAACTAAACAAGTAAGCCATCATTCTTCCTGCCTCTGTCTCTCTGGGTGGTGCAGGCATGTGCGAATGCAGCTGTGCTCACCTGTATGTCAGCATGCAGTGGGCAGACAAGACACCAGGTGGCTCCCTCTGGCTTTCCACCGATTGCCTTGACGGGGTCTCTCACACGATGAGAGGCTCCCCATTTCGGCAAGGCAGCCTCGCCAGTTAGTTTTCTCCATTTGTCTATCTCACTTCCCAGTGTTGGGGTTACAGGCATGTGCAGCCATGCCTGGCTTATTATGCAGGTGCTGGAGGTTCAAATCCTGGTCCTCATTCTTGCAGAGCAAGGGCTTTTACCTTACCGAGTCATCTTCCCAGCCCACTAAGATCTGGGATGAATCGAAACTTTCTTTACTGATAAAAATTGGTGGACTCACAGAAATGAGAGGGTATATATTTTCTACTCAACTTCAGGAGTTCACCTTTTAAAGGAAGTTAGTGTGGCTCCTAGCTTCAAAGTTCCCTCAAGTGGGCATCTTCACTGACTAGCAAATAGCAATTATCAGCGATCGCTGAATTTGACTGAGGCTCTTCCTCAATGAATAATGTGGGAGAGTCATCATGGCTGACTTCTGCTGTCAACCTTAGGCCTCCACATATAGTAGACAAACATGCACATACATTCCAAAAAAAGGGAAAGGGTGCATGTCTCAGTCAATGTTCTATGCTGTGAAGAGACACCATGGCCACAGAAAACTCTTATAAATGAAAACATTTAATTGTGGGCTAGCTAGCAGTTCAGAGGTGTAGTCCATTATCATCATGGAGAGAAGCATGCAGGCAGATACGGTACAGGAGAAAGGGCTGAGGGTTCTACATCTTACTTCGTAGGCAACAGGAAGTGAACTAACTTACTGGGTGTGGCTTGAGCATATATAAGAACTCAAAGGCCATCCTCACAGTGACTCACTTCCTGCATTCAGACCATGCCTCCTAATATTGATACTCTATTGAATGACAGGCCAGTCATTCAAACTTGAGTCTGTGGGGGTCATGCCCAAACCACCACAATACATAAACATACATGAGTAAAACACACACACACACACACACACACACACACAGAAATGAAGATACAGAAAGTTCCCTACAGTGCACACAGGTCAGCAAATAAGGAACAACGGAGCTACTGAGTCCCAGGCTGATTTCCAGTGTCACCTAGGCACACTCATTTTTCATAAATCAAGAGTATTTTAAAAAAGACAAAAAAATGACATTATACTGGAGGCACAGAAGTACTTCTGTATTACCAAATGATCTTGATTTGGCAAAAGTCTCAAATAAATGCTACGGTCTCACATCCAACCTTAATGAAATGCTGATATTTACTTCAACAAAGTAATGAGAGTATTTCTTGTCAAATGGAAGCTGATCGTTTTTCCCTTAAAACTCCTGCTGTGGTTTGAGTATGGAATCTCCCGCAAAGGCGCATGCCTTAGAACATATGGTCCCTTACTGGGGGTGGAGCTTGAGATAGACTAACTGGAGGAAGTATGTCACTGAGGAAGCTCAGCTGATGTCTCTTCGCCCAGCCCCACTTCCTGCTTGCCCTCTGCCTCCAGACTGTAATTCAAAGTGAGCAGCTGCCTCACACTCCTACCTCTATCTATTGCGATTGGCTCTAGCACCTTTAACTACTGGCCCACATAAATCCTTCCTCCACTAAGTTGTTTTTTCTCTGCTGTTTGAGAAGAGCAACTGAGAATTTCCCATAAACCCCGGATATCACAGAAGACAGAGAATCCTAAAGATGATGGCATTTGATATGACTTAAGATGTTGAGTTCGAGGCCAGCCTGGTCTACAAAGGCTAGTTTCAGAACAAGCTCCGAAGCTACAGAGAAACCCTGTCTTGAAAAAAATAAAAGAAAGAAAAGGAAAGGAAAGAAAGAAAGGAAGAAAGAAAGAAGAAAGATTTTAGATATTTAAAATATCTTAGAATTTACTTATGCTCACTTCCACAGAACAGCACCATCTAAAGGGGACCCCTGAGGCGCAGGGATCACAGAAGGCCTCAACCTACCTGCTGCATGTGGCCCAGCACGTTTTTCCTGCAGTCAAACACCCCTTTGCCTTCCTCTGAGTAGAGCTGGTAAATGAAGTCAGTGGTGTAATTTACACTGCAGCTTTCATTTCTGAAATGAAGGTGAAGGATTCAAGTTCACTCAGGGCCAGAGAGGCTGAAGGCTTTCCAAAGAACAGCTCCATCCAGCCAGATGACTCAAGGCTCAGGGTGCCCAGTCACTCCCACACCAGCCCTCTGCCCCTCTGCCCCTCTGCCCCTCCTCTGACTCCGTGTATATTTCTCTTTCTTCCTAAAGGCCAGGAGGGCTTAAGTAGATGGTTGTCTTGAAAACAACAACTTGTAGATTATAGAGAAAAAAGAAACTATAAATAATTGTACCCGTGTTCCTTTAGCATTCATAGAATCAGCAGCAAAGGAAAGCTACTGCTGGGGTTTAGAGCATATGACAGCTTCTGCCCAAGAACCCTCACCTAAAATGGAAGAACGCAAATCCTTCCCATTACCTGAGTACCAGGCCCCTCTGGATGGTGGTCTTCATTTTCTCTGTCAAGTGCTCCACGTTGGACTAGAAAAGAATGTCATATTAGTCCATTAAACTGGGTACCTGCTGTAATACCATTTATGCTAGAATGTAACACCAGTTTGAACATGTCAGCTGTTTCCATGGCTTTAATGTTTGGGGGGTATTACAGTACAGAAGAGTATAGTGAGCAATGGGAAATACAATGGTATTGATAGTAATCCAGATAAGCATGGAATGTGTAAGAGGTGGGGTTACGCTAGTGGGTGTATCTATTAGTGAATGAATACGGCCCCCATCCCCAGCTAAGTTTCCCGCTTAAAATACTTACTCTATACATTTGCCTAACACATGCATTCCTTTTTTTAATGTTCATGAGTTCGATGCGAAGTTTTCATGGTCAACCTGTCACAATCCACAACCACCCAAGAGTCTCTGGACTATCAGGCTGGGTCTGTGGGTGTGGCTATGAAGGATTATCTTGATTATGTTAGCTGAGGAGGGAAGACACACTCACCGTGGGTGGCACCACTCCTTAGGAAGGGGATTCTGAACTATGTACAAGAGATGCCTAGCGGATGGCTAGGACACATGCATTTGCTCTCTGTGTTCTTGACTGAGCACGTGACCAGCAGTTTCAAGTTCCAGGTGCTTTGGCCTCCCTGGACTGCTAGACCATACCCTGGAACTAGGAGCAAAATAAACCCTTTCTCCCTAAGTTGCTTTTGCCTGAGAATTTTATCATAAGAATGGTAAACAAAACTAGGACAGAGACAATGTTTCAATAGGTCTACGGGATGTTATTTAAAACACCAGGTCCCAGTAAGCAAGTGATTTATACTAAACATTGGGAAAGCATTTCATCTTTCTCAAATGAATGACCGTTTAAAAATACATACACATACATAGAGGGGGGGGGAGAGAGAGAGAGAGAGAGAGAGAGAGAGAGAGAGAGAGAGGAGGTTAAGACCCCATAAGAGCACTTTCAGATCTTGAGAGGACCCAGCCTTTGTTCTCAGCTTCAATGAACCATATAGTGGCTCACAACCATCCTTCACTCCAGTTCCAGGGGATCCAGCACCCTCTTCTAGCCCATGAAGTGTGCACATACACACATACTGGCAAAATATTCATTATGTATAAAATATCACACACAGGAAGGACCCTCAACCCTTTCTAGTGTTGGCCACCCAGCCAAAGAGCTCCTAAGACTCAAGTCCAAACATTTGGATTTGGAGATGACAATTGAAACGCAAACAGCGTGCCATGTTTTCCAACACCATCTCCAGCCTTAGGAAATAAGGCTTCTTTACTCGGCACTGTTAAACGAGGTACTCTCAGAGTCACGCACGGATTGACGTACCTGTAAATCTCTGATGTCAAATGGCTCTTCAAAGATGTAGGCGGCATCGGCTCCCGCTGCGAGTCCCCCCATGTTGGCCAGGTAGCCACAGTATCCGCCCATGGTTTCAATGATGAACACCCGACGCTTGGTCCCACTGGCCGACTGTTTGATTCGGTCACACGTCTGGCCACAGACAAGGAGATCCGTCATTTGAATCCAGGATCTTAGCCAGTGCCGCACGTGCACTAGCCCAGGGCCTGCTCTCCCCACAAGCTGCTGGTCCCTCCACCAAACCTGAGCGTGCAGTAGCAAGCATTGGGTACAGAGAGGAGCGGTAGAAAAAAGTGCTTAGCTGCAGCCTGGGAGTCAGAATCTCTGTGATCACCTGCGGTGGAGCCTGGCTGGGCCATTACCCTGGAGACCCAAGTCAGTGTTCGCTTGCTTTTCTGTCTGAATATGTCCTCGCTGAGAAAGGATTTTTGCAAAGCAGTATTTAGCAGGTAGAATTTATATTACCAAGAAAATGTTGATTACCTGGTTTTTTAGATGCCATCTTTGCTTTTCTGATCTTGCTTTGTTGTGAAAAGCTCTTTGTAATATTAGGTTTAGTTTACCTTAGGTATATGCTTGGGTACCTCTGTCCACAGAGAACAGCGTCTTGGACAAAGGCATCCAGAGACATCTTCAGGCCACTGGCACCAGGTTTCACACGGAAACACAACCCACTGCCTTACACCCGTGGCACCAGTGTAGATGCCACTCATTTCTGCTCCGTATCTGTTCTGTACCCAAGAAACTGACATCCATGTATGCAATCCAACCAGATTGTGTTCTTGCCCTCTTCAAAACCCTGTGGCACTGAACTTTTAAGTATGCATTAAAGCCTTTTTTTTTTTTGAAACAGGGTTTCTCTGTAGCTTTGGAGCCTATCCTGGAACTAGCTCTTGTAGACCAGGCTGGCCTCGAACTCACAGACATCTGCCGGCCTCTGCCTACCGAGTGCTGGGATTAAAGGCTTGCATTAAAGCCTTTCTATGGAATGCACAACCCTGCCAATTCCCATCACCATGTCCAACTCCCAGCTCCAGTTGCTGTCCTAACACAGGGATATGCTGTTCTCTGAGCCTCCATGGAACTGTCATACACAGGGACAGTGAAGAACTGCACATAGAAGCCCCCAAAGGGATTCCATTCATATGCCCTGGAATGCCATGAGCCATCTCTTATACAAGTTAAGTAAACAATCTTGAGATGGGATTATTCCAGATTATCCAAGAGAGCCTTGAGTGTCATTGTAAAGGGAGCAAAGGAAGCCAGGGCACAGGCTACTAGACAAAGGAGCGAGAAACGTCATGCTGGCTCAGAGGACGCAAGAGTCAGGGGTCATGGCCTGCCAAGGATGCAGGTCAGGAAATTAGAAGACATAACAACAGCCTCTGTCCTGGAGCTCGCACCTTGACTTCCCTGACCTCTGCCCCAGACAGCCGTGAGCAAATGGTACTCTGGCAACACAACACGTGTGCAGCCATAGGAAACTCACTCAGACTGTGTCCTGCTCTTAGGTGCAAACTGTGACCCAGTTAAAAAGTCATTTCCTCAGGAAGACACTACGTGACCTCCAGGACTGGATAGTCCCTGTGGTAGGGATCCTCGTGACTCTGTGTCCTCACTCTCTTCACCCAGTATTCTTCCTGCAATGTGTGTGTATTAGATTTGGGTATTTCCTCCTCTCTGGATACCATTCCTTTAAGAACAGGAACCCCGGGATGGGATAATGCCACTCCACTACCCTTCACAGCCAGCTGTGCCTGCAACGCAGCAGATGCTCAGCATTGAATAAAAGGGCATGAGCTACTTGCCCTGCCTGTCAGTAGTCCAGAGTTAAGAGGACAGTGACAGCATGTTGGAAGACAAGACACTGGGACTGTAACAGCCACAGATCTATAGGAGGAGCAGAAAGTGAGTCTTCGCACCAAAATCTAATAACTCTCTGGTCATTCTTACATGATCACTTTGAGTTACATTTAACAGACTGTGCTTAAGAACAAACACAGCTTTTATGAAAAGCATTCCAATCTTCAGTTTCTCTTGTAGATCTCCCTGCCCAAGAGTATTTACTATATGCTTCGGTGGGTGGGAAGCTCTCAATCCCTAGGCAACAGAGATGATGCAAGGTGAAGGAAAGCTGCAGATCTGCATGGCTGAGCTAAGGCAGGTGGCCAGTCAGGGAGCAAAATCACACGGGCTACCTTTCCAATTTAATCTTTCCCAATATGCCCAATCTATTGCCCACTAACCCATAGAACTAGTCACTTGATGATACAAGAATATTACTAAGAAAGATGCCTTTGGACACAAGGCCCATTTATACAAATGTCTTAGCTCTGATCCAAATGGATTGTTGACGAAACAAAAAGAAACTGATTGGACTATATCTGACATGGAATAAAAGTCCAGGCTTTCTGTGTGCCACCGGCTGGAAGAACAAGGAGATGGGTTTGGGATGGTATGCTCTTCCTATACGCTCTCATTACCCAGATTGAATCTGAGGACTTCAATTAGCTTCTTCTGAAAATAGGAAGACATCGTAGCCATGTCTCATTCAATTATTAAAAGTAGTACTGACATGAAAAGGGCCAGCCTACCAATGCCATCTGCCATGTGCTAAGGGGCCGCCCTGACTTTTGGCTGAGAACAGGAACCATTTGTGGTTCTCATCTCTTACGCTACAGCAAAAGCCTCATAGCCAAGTTCAAGGAGTTCCGAGAGCACAGAGTAGCATATCCTCTGGGTGAACCTCTGGGAGGAAGGTTCTTGGACGAAGAAGGTCAAGTCGCAGTTCAAACATCATGACCACTCTGCCACACATACTGTCCCTCCAAAATGTAAATAAAAGGTAAGACAGTAAGGCTGAGTTAATCACAGAGCTCCTTTTTTTTAAAAGAAAATCAATAGACATTAATGTGGGAGGAATCATGTCTTACATGTTAAGAGGTTCCCTCTCCACTTGGCCCCTGACTCAAGGGAAGGTATTTCTTCTGAATACTCACTGAAGAACTTAGGTACCCAGATAGGGAAGGAGGTAGGGAATGGGTCAGGGAAAATCCTGTCCTGCTGTGTGCCAGCAGAGAAATGACTGATCCTCATTTTCCTGTCAGTGAAGCCAGTGTCCAAGACAAAAGGCTAATGTATGTTGGATCATCTAGGACTTCTGCCTGTGATAGCATCTGTCCATGGAGGTATTTAGAAGGGAAAGCTCAGGGCTGTGCCTGGGCACTAAGGCATTCAATGACTAGGGTTCAATTTATAGGCTTGTTTGTGAGTCTGTTTAACACACAAAGAAATTAAACTCCAAAGAAGTCTGAATACAGGCCAGGGGAGCTTCCACACTGGTCATGAGCTATATCAACAGAAAGGCTCCAAGGGAGATCCCAAGGGTATGGCAATCTGTTAAGTCCCATGCTAAGATCTTAGTGGAGAATTCAGATGCTTGACCCAACTGGGCATCTCCCCTTTTCCTGCAATTTAACTTAGAAGAAAGAACTTGGGATCTAAGAAATCTCTCCAACAGCTGTAAAATCAATGCAAACTCTAGAGCAGTGCTTCTCAACCTTCCTAAGGCTGCAATCCTTTAATACAGGGCCTCATGTTGTGGTGATCCTCCCAAGCATAAAACTATTTCCATTGCTACTTCATAACTGTAATTTTGCTAGTTATGAATCATAATGTAAATGTCTGATATGCAGGATATCTGATATGTGATTCCTGAGAACCACTGCTCTAGCACCAGCTTGGATGTGAACGTCTTTAGTCAGAGGTCTGCTTGCCGCTCTTGGGTCGGGGTAGGAGGAGCTGAGCACGATGAGACACTAACTCCACATGCTTGACCACCATCTCTGATGCGGGAGAATTGTCTGTATTCTGTCCATCATATTTTAAATAAATGCTGATTGGCCGATAGCCAGGCAGGAAGAAGAGGCGGGAAAACCAGACAGGAAGTAGAGGTAGGGCAATAAGAACAGGAATATCCTGGGAAGAAGGAAGCTCTTTCCACTGTCCTGCCCAGATCACAGAAGAAACAGAATATGACCTGCCCTACTGAAAAAGGTAGTGAGCCATGTGGCTAACATAGATAAGGATAATGGGTTAATATATGTTATAAGAGCCAACACGAAGCCTGAGCTAATGGGCCATTCAGTTCATAACTTATGGAGACCTCTGTGTGATTTTCTTTGGGACTTGCCAGCTGTGGGAACTGAGCAAAACAGTAACCCCAACAAGTAAGCCCACATGTTATACATCCCTTCTGCTGCTGTATAACCACTACCTGCGGCAAAGGACTTGGGAGCAAGCAGACATCTTCCTGTCTCAACAGCACCGAGTATGTTAAGTTCTTTACCTGTGTTACAATGTGGACACTAGCACCAGCTGGTCCATCTCCCCACAGTGTGTGGCAGGTAAAGCCACTTTCCTCTCAGAGAGTGACTTTGTCTCCTGGAGTGTCTCTCATCACACCAGGAAGTCTTTCCAAGCAATGGCCTGGGTCTGCCTTTGTTTGAGCAGCTTTATTGACCATGCTTAATTCTGAGAGCTATTATACTTACTTGCAGGGCATCTAGATCCAATCTACTGTGCTCTCTCCTTTGACCTGTTCTCTCACCCTCCTCCGACATCACAACTCTAACAATGGAACTTTGGATAGAAGCAGTTGACCTTACCAGCAGGGATGTCCACAGCTCTCCTATTCAGATGGTACAGAAACACTATGGAGAGGCCCGCATAGAGCATTTTATCTTGAGTTAATGGAGAAAAGGTGCTCACCATGAAAAACAAGGAGACACTACCCTGTTATCAAAAACGTGGCCAAAAGGTAAACATACATTTTGGCTTATTCCTTCTGAAAAACATGAAAGGGTTTCTGTCTCAGTTTCCAATTAAGCTCAGACAGGAAAATGTTAAAGACCTTACGTGGAAAGTTGGAGCTGACAGGCAGGCTTAGGGCAGAAGAAAAACTCATTAAGGCTAAAGAAGCAAAATGTAAGCAGAAGCAGAATGTCTCTTACCTCGATAATCACACCCAGGCCAGTATCAGCACCGATAGAAAAATCTGTGCCCGGGACATTGTTACTAATAGTGGCAGGCAAAACGCATATCGGGATGCAAAACTCCTCATGGCTGTTTCGAACATCAGCCATCATGACCGCAGCTTGGAAAGCCTGAAGCAGCAGGGCCATGACAGTTAGAGGGGTGCCAGTCCATCACTGGCCAAGGCACCAGGCAAAGGCAGTAACTTCAGGAATATGACAGGGAGGAGGGAACCAAGTAACCAGCAGGAAGTTTGTCCGCTTGGGTCAACAGAGGCCACGAGAGGCCTGGATTGGTGTCTGAGCAGGTGGAGGGCAAGCCGCAACTATTCCCGGGCTACTAGGTGTATCCCTCCGCCTTGTTCTTCTTGTCCCACAGGAAGAAGACACAAGTGGCAGAGTCAAGGTGGTGCAAAGCAGGCAGCAAAGCAGGCATCAGGCCGAGGGGAAAGAGGTGCATCGTGGGTTAGTCATTAGATGAAACAGCTGCTCCTTTCTCGGCATTACAGTGGAGGTGGAGAAAGAAAATGAAGGCGGGGGGAGGGGGTGTTTAAGCATAAAGCCAGTCCCAACACTTCTTTAGGTGAGGGTTGAGTGTTGGGAGGAGCATATGGCTGCAAGGATGACATCAAATGACTGTTATCACCAATGCAGAGCTGGGTCACTGCACCACCGCCAACCGCTGACAGGAAAAGAGACATGCATTTGACGTTACCTGCAGGTCCATCACAGAACCCACACTGGCTTCTGTGTGTCCCTCTGCTCCCCATTGGAAATACCTGTTTCCCTCCTGGAGGGAGCAACCTTTCTGGGCCTTTGATAGTGCTTATATGAAGCGAGACAGCTCATTTGGAACCTCAGTCACTGCTTCAGAAGGATAACTAGAAATGTCTGACTCGGTTGTACAGAAGCCTCCTAGCTGCTGTACAGAGGTTTCAAATGCCTACCTCAGGTAGTAAAGCCAGGTTAGTGGTAGGATTCAGGTCTACTCACCCACAGTTCCTAAATCCAGGCAGCCCCCAGAGTAAGGCAGTGTATTTTTAGACCAGTGTGGGTGGCAAGTCTGACCCATAAATCTTATTTACCCTCCTTAGTATAATCATCCACACAGGTTGCTGTATAATTATTGCTAGACTGTAGCATGGGACTCTGTCTCCCCACAAGGCAGCTGTAATGAATGCTGTATGTTTTTTTCTGCAACCAAATCATCCTCAGATTTAAAACCTGTATGCTCCAAGGATTCTGAACAGTGGGTCAAGGACCTATAGTAAATTAGTCCATAGAGTGTTCAGCCTAAAGGTCAGACAGGGTCGCCAGCACAGGCCAGGGCTCAGCTTTCCCTTATTCCCAACACAACCAACCCTCCACCTCCACCCCTAGTTGGCTTTGAGCCTTTTCACTGCTCTCCAGTGCTCAGCCATTTCTTGCTAAGGTTGTGGTTGTTATAATTGATTGAATTAAAAATCATCTGTTATGACAAAGCAATCTGGGTTAACCCACTGGTCAGTGCCCCCACACATTTTCTAGACCCCTCAGAATTTTCTAAGAAATAGTTCTCATTTGCTGAGAACTATTTTAGCTAGATGTTTATTAGGAGTAAATTATACAGAAAGAAGCTGTGTCATTAAAAAGCCTCCCACTGGAAATCAGAGTGCCTGGCAGCCCAGTCTTCCCTGTGAGTGGGGTAGGGCCAGGGATATATGAGGAGGGCAGGTGCCAATGGAGAGAGTTAGTGCTAAATTCCATTCTGACATTTGTAGTGATAGTTTTATTGCTGCAAGAGCTTTCTTCCCAGCATTCCTCTTTTGTTTCTGTTCCTCTCTAATCAACTGAAAGGAAAATGCCAGGAGGCCAGCCCTACCCAGGAAAAGCAGCAAACTGAGGAAACCATCCAAACAGTCTTGCTTCTAGATCCTGCAGCAAGCAACAGCAATTTTTAAAACACCAATAAAGCCGCAGTAGACATTTTGACTGTACACACTTCAGAAGACGATGATGCTACACAGTTATGAGGACCTAGAGTCAATTTTCTATATCCCAGTGTTCACTATTGGAGGAGGGCTATCCTCAGGGCTATGTCATGTCACCTTTGTGGCCATTTGCTGGCAGTTCACACTTAACTTGCTTTGGTTGTATTTTTTGACTAAAACAACGCTTGGTGTCAATGGTAAGGAATAAAAACAAGTCCCATTGTAAAGCCAACACTGCAACACCAGACTTCTGAAGTGCCTGCTTTGAGATGTTACCCAGAGGACTTATCCATTACCTTGCAGATACTGAAAACCATTCAAGGAATGCCCCTATACCTGAGTATCATTGCTGGCAATGGGGCGAGCGATTAGCCAAGACAAGGATCAGTTCTCAAGGGCAATGATGTTGTTTAATCCAACTGGAGAGGCTCGGGTTTGCTCACCTCAACAAGCCAGACATTCTGAGACTAATATGTCCCTGTTGTGAGGACTGTCCCCAAGACTGTAAAGCAATTAACAGCATGCCTGACCTCCACTCACTACATGTTAGGAATTCCTCTCTTCTACCTCTGATGACATAAAATGTCCTTCATCACTGCAGCTGTCTACTAGATATATAATCACCCAAAGCTGAGAACTGCCTGACTTTCCAAACCTAAAGAAACAGTTGGTTCTGGGAGACAGCCATGGATGGTAAGCTTGGATGTTCTCCAGGGCCCCGGAAGGCTACTATCCCCTAGAAACAGACAAGTGTAGAGAAACAAGTGACTTAGTGCATAGTTGTTTTTTAGACATCTGCTTAAGTTACCCAGTGAGGTTAGGCAACTACTCTCAGCTTCCTGCCCGCTCTATACAGGGGCTTCCTAGATGCAGCAGCAGGAGGCATGGGCGCTTTGGGTAGAGTCTCCTCAAGTCCTCTTTTCCTAGACACAGTGCCAACCTCCCCTCATTTTTGTGGTCAACCTAGACTAATTCTGGTCCAACTTCCAACTATTAGAATAAACCTTCATTTGTCTTTGCGCCTCTTCACATTCTAGTCCCTTTACCTTCGGGACACATGACTGAACTCTGGCATGTTTTCTCATCCTCACTCGGCTATTAGCTCTCCAGAGCGACGGTAACATTCACTAAGGTTATGTTTCCTGGCCCAGCTTCAGTCACCCACCTTGAGATCACAGAACCAAGACGACCCAGCTCCCTGGAACCTCAGAAGCAAGGAGCAACAGTGACCACACATCCACACCCACCAAGCCTGTAGACCTCAGCAATGGCTACCTACCCACAACTCGGATTTCCTTCTCACGCACTACCACTAGCTTTGAAAAACTCAAATGAATAAAAAAGAAAGAAAGAAAGAAATTAAAGAAAAAACATTACAAAATCTCTTTAAGGCAAGTAAGAGGGAATAGATAACTTTTCTCCCTCCTTCCTATTTTGAGTTTCAAATTTTCAACAGTATGTATATATTAAATATTCAAGTCTGGGACAAAACAATTATTAGTACAAGAGCTAAGAATCATAAATTATAATTATGGGGAAACTATAATAAAAAGAGAATCTTTCCTTCATGCCTGACAGTGCACACTGATATCCACAAGGAGATAAATACCCACCTTGGATGGCATCTGCAGAGGCTCCCACTAACTGTGACTGACAGTATGCAGGAGTGTCCAACCTTTCACCGTTTTGGCAGGATGCTGCCATCTCCAAAGTTCACACTCAAGAACCATGCAATACCGTTTCCAAAAATAATTGGCAGAAATAATTCTCATAATATTTCAAATGCCTTCATGATTGTTCTTGGCTAGGCCACATTCATAGCTGCTCTAGGGCACAGGCCATCCACAGGCTACTGGCCAGAAGCACCTGCAAGCGGACTTCTAATTAGATGACCAGGAGCTTGTGAAGAAGAAACTCTAATTGCTTCCCCTGCAAATTCCTCCTATGTAAACTGTAGGCTGTAATTCAGCATCTGGGATGCACAGAGCCCTGGGTTTCAATCCATTTTGTGACAGATACCCTTCTTTCCATTCACAGAGGAAGATCCATCAAGAGCCCGAGTCCAGCAACAGCAACAGCAAAAGCAATAGCAGCAGTCACCAGACAGCACATGCAACACAGAAGGAGAAGTTAGTGACCGAAAATAAATAAAACGGACATTGCTTCCGAGACACACCAGGCACGAGCCTCATTAAACAGAAAGAGAAACGTTTCCGAAATTGAGAAAAGCAAGAAAGCAGCGCTAAGCGTTACTTACCATTCTGTGATATATCATAAAAGCATCGGGGCGTTTTATCTACCAGTACTAGAAATGAGTTTGGTGTCAAGAGCTTAAGAAAAGTCAAAACCCTACACAAATATGTATAAGAATTAGTTCTCCCGTAAATAAAAAAGGCTTAAGAGTTAATGAAAACTGTTGGAATTCTGACTTAGTGATCTTCAACTCCCCAAAAAATGAACAAGTATAATTTACTAATGTAACGCTGAAATGCATGTATTTTGTTACTTGCTTTCTACAAAGAGACAAACAATAAAAAAGCATCAGTACTTTTGACTTAAGATTGCCAATTTATAAAAGAGGGAAACAACAATAACAAACGTAGCCCAAAATCCAGTGAAGTGCCAACAGGCGCTTCAGAAAATAGCATTATGAATTATTTAGCTCAATCTCTACCCTTAAGCATAGAGTAGAGAATGTTGGACACGGGATTTCAGTGCAATAAGAGGCTTACAGACTGAAAGGAAATTATATTCACCCAAAACTTAGAAAACACTACACTGAGTATCAGATCAGAAAACACAGTGGTTTAGCACTGCTTGAGCTCAAGCGAGCTGTCTATCCACAGGTCTTGGCAACAGAGTGACACCGGGCTAGCAACTGCTTGGGAGGACTTTTGGAAAGAATTGGAGTGGGAGTAAAGATCAAGGACTTTCAGAGTCCTAAAGAACTTTTAAAATGTGCTTTCCTGAAACAAAAATATTTAGGTGCCCAGCTGGTAGCTGGTAAAAGGCTACTTCTAGTGCCCTGGTAGATAAAAGGGTCGAGGCCTTGGGTTAGCATCAGCTGCACCTGCTTTGCTGGCACACGCGCACTTACGTCTGTGATAGTGTTCAGAGCCGTGTCTGCCCCGATGCTGAAATCGGAACCCGGCACATTGTTGGAGACAGTAGCAGGAACCATAACCATAGGGACACAGAACTCCTCGTGTTTCTCCCGGGCAGCTGCCAGCTCTAGGAGTCCCAGGTAGGCCTGTCGGACAAGTGTGTGTGATTGTGGGGCCAGGGACGGAGAGGCGGACATGGACACTATGTGCCTGGGAGAGTCTCAGGGAACTACTGCCACCACGGTGCACAGGGTACAGTAAGGAGACCAGGGACTACTGAAAAATCAACACAGGTGAGTTAGAGGAACAAACAAGGACAAGCAGCTTCCCAGGCACAAAGGGGAGACGCTGTATTAGCACAGAGTAGTAAGACTAAATGACTCTCTTAGAAATTTGAGTCTAGTTATGTGAAGTTCATATATGTCTTTAAGTAAATCAAGGTTTTTGTGGGACTCATCCCCATTAATTAAGGACTACAGTCCAATATGACTTCTTGAAAATTCTGAAAAGAAAAACTAACCCTATAACCACCTTCCTTTCTAAATCATCAGTGTATTTCAAATGAATAGTATGGAATTATATTTACAGGTTGATAACAAATCAGAAAACGTCAAACTAAGTCCCGGTAGATTGGTCAAATATGTGCCGGTGTGGTTAATTTACTTCATCAGAACTGGACCACGTTTGTGCTACATCTCACTGATCTGCCATTCTGCACTACGGGGCTACTAGGTTGGGTATTAAAATCCTAGTTCCTGAAGAACAGTCAATAAGACCAGATACATGTGAAGCAAACATGGGACTACAACTTAAACCTCCAAAACCAACATGCGGGGAGACAGACAACAACGTACCTCAAATCCACCAATGATGAGCAGCGCATTGATACTGTGGGAACGCATCTGTTCGGCAATTTTCTCCAAGTGCTTTCCAGGTAGGGTGCTGAGGACAGACAGAACAAGAGGTGAGAGCACGCCCACATGCTGGGATTATCTCTACGCACCTGTTGGGGTCTTGTCTCCCAACTCCCAACTATGTCTGAACTTGGTGGCATGTAAGGTACAGTGGACAGTTGGGCTACTTTCCTATGGCTCCACGGTTGACAGCACCTAGGATAGCAGAGTCCTGGAGAATGACCACTAAAGGCAGGAACAGCAAGATATTAAGTCCCTAAAGAGCGTTTTTGCAAAAGCAGGAGAGCTGGGGATTTAGCTCAGTGGTCAAGTATTTGCCTAACATGTGTAAAGCACTAAATTGAATCCATACTACCAAATATAGGCAGACGGAGAGAAATGATGCTACCCCAGAGGACTTATGCTGCCTCCACAAGGTGTGGCGGTGCACACCTATAATCTCAACACTCAAGGTGGAAACAGGATTGGTGAGTTCAAGACCAGTCTGAGCTCCAGGAGACATAGTGAAATCCAGAACAGACTGAGCTACATTAGGACCCTGACAAAAGAGCCAAAACAATTGCGCTTGATCATGAGGAAAAAGAAAATATACAATAGTTTATGATATCGATAGCAATTGTTGACATAGAAATTTCCACTTTCCAAAGTATATGCATGTGCATATGTGTGTGTATATATAGTATAATATATTTTGATATAATTATGTGTCTATAAATAATACAATAATATATAATATGTTAACTGATATATATTTCCTTTAATGTATGCTATATATATATATGCATATACATCAATTTACTTTCTTTCAAAACCACATTCACCTACATTCCTCTTCTATACTGTCACCTATTTCCAAAGACACAGTCAGCAGGGACACCACTAAGCAATGGAAAGTGACTCACACCTGATTCTAGTATTTTATCTGAAAACCACCCCGATCTTACTTTTCATGCTTAAAGGAGAAAATGAAGTACTTATACTGTGGCAAAAAAAAAATATAGGTTGACGATGAAGTTATTGAAATATGGAAATAAACACTGGAAATAGAATATAGAAAATTGCAGCAAACAAATGAATATGCCCAAGGGGCAAACTGGGAACGCGCAGCAAGTGTCTCCATAAGTCACAATGACATAGAGCCCAATACCTAAAAACTACTTTCCTTCCACACAAAAGAAAAAAATGTAAGTCACAGTAACGGCTGGTACTAATACTTGCATCCTGGAAATAACCAAAGATAAAACAAAGTTGGACCTAACATAACACAATTTGTTAAAATGCCTTAATCACAGCTTTGTAGATAAAAGAAGGATTTTTTTTTAAAGTCAGAAAAACATGATTTTAAATTAGCAATACCCAGGTCATTTCTTCAGCTATGCAACTTAGCTTGGAGTCACTATGTCGCTCAGTTCGGTTAGACCCAGACACATTGCACCTCTCACAACGCTGAAATACGTGCTTGTTCACATGATAGTACAGGTAATGACAGCTTTGTAATCATCCCTCATTTTCATGACCAGAGTGAGCCAGAAGCTTTTCACATATGGCTTTGCTCTTCAAGTATACGGAAGCATGGAAAAAGGAATTTTAGAGTGCCTGGAATTGAACCTAAGGCCTCGTGGGTGGGAAACAAGTGCTAACCAGTGAGGTACATATTCATCCCGATCTGCACCCCTCCCCCCATTCCTGGCACTGAGCTCCCTACAACATGACCGAGTTCCTGGAGCAATGGCAGACAGATGTCCCTGCTTCATTAGGTGTCACGCTTTCGACACGGACATCTAGCCATCTCTCTCTAGGAGGTACTTCTTCCTTCTTTGTTAACAACTACTGAATGGCTCAACAGTTAACAACACTTGCTGCTCTTGCAGAGGATTGGGCTTTGGTTCCCAAAACCCACACGGCAGTTCACACCCATCTTTAATTTCAGCTCCAGGAGAACCAACGCCTTCACACACGGTGCACATACATAGAGACAAAACACATAAAGTAAGCAGAACTTCTATAAGAGTTAAAATTTGGAAATTACCGTTTTGTCCCAAGAATGGACCCTCCTTGTCCAGTCCAACCTCCAACATCTCCCCATTTGATTTCTTTGACCTAAATTTCAAATACAGAGTGAAACAGCTGAAATTGGGGGAAAAAAAGGGCAGGAACCAGAGGCTCTGAAAACAGCGCAAGGTTCTGAACTCTCTCAGGCTGAGTTTCCAGAGAGATGGGTTAGGCTGCAGCTCTGACCCCCCCCTCCCCTCCACACACACACTGTGGTGCTAACTCAGTGAAGACTTGGCGTAAAGCCTCAGTAAAACTATTCTTCCCTGCCTGTGGGGGACGTCCACACCTAACCCTCCCTAAGCATGTGTCCCAGGTGAACACCTTAGATGACCAGAATCTGTCACTAGAAAAGAAAACTGATATCATGGTTTTTAAATTGGTAAAGGTTAAAAATAATTTAGCACTGAAGGCAAAGAAGAGAGAAACGTGAACATAGTTTGGCTAAGCAGATGTAATCAACTGTGGGCGATTCCCATGTTAGGTGAGGCATGAGTTAGTCACAGAGCAGAACACAGTGGGCGAGAACTCCAGGTCTGCCAGCTTCTAGTCATGTGGTTTTTGGAGAATGTATTCTGGTGAGGTCTTTAGGGAAGTTACAGACCTCTTCCAGCTTGGCATCTCCAACCTACTGCCATCGTACCAATGACAGCAGCTCTGGGGTCAGACATGTCTCACCATCTTGCTTCAAATCCTACATCAGTAGAAGCACCACACAATCCTGAATGAGTAGGTGCTGCGATGAGTCTGGCATACCCATGTGCATACTCTCACTTCTCTAGGAACACCGGGGAGACTCACTTGGCCTTTGGCGAAGCCATCAAAGCCATCATAGACTGCGTACATCCTGTGACCATCTGCAATGCCGACTCGAACAGCGGAGCGCACGGCTGCATTCATTCCAGCTGCGGGTGCCCCTACGTTGATGACAGCCACATTGCAATTGCTCTGAAAACAGAACAGGGCAGTGTCAAGTCATCAGACAAGAGCAAGCTCCCATTTGCACACTTATAAGGGATCATACTGTGTCACGTTTGGCAGGAGGTGGCCATGTTATGATTAAGGTCACAAGGGAGAGGTGACGATAAGCTTCCAAGGATTCACACTGAGAGGGGTATGGGGTAAAAAGATCCCTGAGTCAGTCAGAAGACTGGGTCATTGTTGGAAGCTGGCTAATACCTTGGGGATCTTGTCATCGGGAAGCTTCACGGCAAGACGCTTGTAGGTCTTCAGGTTTCCCTCAAAACTCCTTAAGAAAAATGACAATTTAGTTTTAATTTAATATGGGTTTGTGAATATCAGTGCAGTGCCCGTGGAGGCCAGAAGAAGGCACCCCCAATTCCCCTGGAGCTGGATTTACAGCAGTTTTATGAGCTGAGGGACGCAGGTTCTGGGAACTGATCTTACTTACCTAGTTCTCTAAACTGCTGAGCCATCTCTTCAACTCAACCTCTTGTAATTTTTATATTGAGACTAACTACAGTCTCAAGGACCAAACAAGGACCTAAATCTCTAGCAGAGTTTTATTCTTGATCACTCACCTCCCTCGGAGTTGTACGGCATCCTTAAATCTCCTCTCATCCATTGCTTTCTGTACATCCTGGGTCTTTTTTAAAAAAAAAAAAAAAAGTAATAATGAATGAATCAAGCCTGAGATGATCTAAGGTTGAATCTTCACAGTCTGACCCCATTGTTAATGGTCCCCAAATTGACAGCTGATGTGGCCGCTGTGAGGGCAGTGCCCCAAAGAAAAGGAGGGACACTTTCTGCTCATGGTCACAGAATCACAAAGATCGAGTTGCACAAAGGCAAGATTCACGGAAATGGGTCTTTTCGGAGGACAGATTAATCCTCAGTGCAGCACATTTAAGGAAAAAGAAAAACAGAGCTAGCTCACTGCCTCACTGAGGACTGCAGATCTCCAGTATGGGTCACGGGTGTCTGCGGAGAACAGAGGGGTGAAGGCGGCCTCAAGACAGAGAGCTCAGGGCTGAACACCCTTACTATCTCAGCAAGTGGCTCTCTGTGGCTACTTGCTGAAGCCTCTGAGATCATTTGAGAATCAGGTAAGTTACAAGTAATCCATTGTCTCCAGTGAACAAAGACACAGGGGATGAGCAATAATGCCCCAAGAAATGCACCACACGTGGTTCAGGGCTTTGACCTTTTAATCCTATATCTCTCACACGGTTCCAGACACTTCTTTTATCCTTCATCCCTAACGATACACAGGAACACACAGACACAAACACAGACACACATCACCACACGTATGTATATATACTGTCTTTGTCCATATTGGCTTCTGGGAATTAAGGTTATTTTCAACAAATTCCTTGACACACTATCATTGTGAGTGTGTCTGTATGTATATATGTCTCTGTCTGTCTGTCTGTCTGTCTGTCTCTCTGTATCTGTCTCTCTCTCTCTCTGTGGTGTCTGTTATAAAAGGCATAAATGTCAGGATCATTCAAAAGCCCAAATACTGCAACATTTCATGAAATTTTTTCTTGGAAAAATAAAAAGTAATAGCAATTTCTAATGCAGCAAGTCCACTGGCAGTGCATTTACTGAAAAACTGCTTTGCAAAGCAGAATGCATTTTTCCTTCATCTATCAGTAGAAACACCTGAAGGAACGGGCCTCTCTTGCCATTACTGGAATCTGTCCCAACACAGATCAGAACGTCCTCGGGAGCAAAAGGACAGAAAACAAAACTGGAGGAGCTTAGGCGTGTCACACCTACAGCACCAATTCCTGGCAGGACCACCGTCCGGCACTTAGTCTTCCTGCTCCTGGTGCAGAGGAGCTCCCTGGACCATCTGTGACTGTAGGTGGAAACAGTCACCCACTCTACCAGTTCTTGGTGTAGAACACTCATCGCTAGGAGATACAATCACAGGAAATGCCTCATGGGTGGCAAGAGAAAAGAAGCAGAAGATGGAGAAGCTTTTACACACTATACAGCGACGCAGGGAGCTTGTTGCCGTCATCCACAGGGCATATAGATCATCCCACCCTCCAAAAGGCCGCTTGACCGAGTGCTCAACCGAATCTGAAGCAGACCACACAGTCTGAAGCACCCACTTGTTCCCACAGGCGGCCTAGCCAATGTCCATGCCCACCCAATACCGGAGCTCACCATTTGCACACACTCCATCAGAGGCAGGCGCACAGCATGGTTTCCTCTCAGGGATACCACACAGGCCGGGGTCTGAGGAGTAGCCTCCATCAGGGCAACGACAGCTTCCACGCCCATGCGACTGGCCTGCCAACGATAAGTACAATCACTACAGACAATAGCCCTTGCAGACACCACTGCAGGGTTCACTCTGTGCCTGCTTTCTATGCTGTAAAACAATGACTCAGTCAGGGGTTTGCCCTGCTTCTGTCTGGCTTATCTCTATTCATCTCTGCAACAATAAGAATATCAACTCCATGAAGAAATACCAGGTAACACTAAGACCTTAGGGTGTGAACTCAGGATTGCCTACTGTACTCTTGGCTTAGGTTCTGGAAGCTTACACTTGGGAGACCCATTGCGACAACCCGACTTTTACTCTCCTGGCACCCATGACTTCCCTATCAGTAGCATCCTGACTTCCCACGTCAGCTGTGACCTCAGCCCAGGAAATTATCCACGTCAGTAAGTCTCAGAGGACCTTTAAATAAGGACATGGGCCACTATCGTCTCGGGGGATGAGGCTGCTGGTCATCTAAATTTCTTTTGAGGCGGTCTCATGAAAATGTCCAGTACTTTCCATCCCCACTCACCAAAATCCTGTCAAATGCAGAAGGGGTCCCTCCTCGTTGCACGTGTCCAAGAATGGTCACCCGGGTGTCAAAGCCTAGCTGCTTTACCACAAGCTGTGGAGAAGGGTGTCCATCAGAAAACAGAGAACCAAACAGACCTCACTGGTGTGGCCACAGGGTGCTGGCACTCACGAAAGGGTGATCCGCTTGGTCTTCAGATGGAAATGCTAAAACTGATCATTGCTTCATTTCTCCCTGCAGGAACAGCTAGACACGATGCTAAAACTAATTTTTCCAAATAATGCTTTCACGGCAAAGTAAAATCTTTTCCATGTTGCTGCTGTCTGTTTATTTTGATTTGGTTTTGGTTACTGGAAACAATATACTTAGGCCAGGTTGGCCTTGAACTTAACAATCCTCCTGCATCAGTTTCCTGAGTTTGAGGGTTATAGACAAGAATGGCCACACTCAGACTACTAAAATTAAAATCTCTATCTCCTAACAAGCAGATAAAATTAAGCAACACAAAAATGTTGCTTCAAGTAGCTGTGTTTAAAGCATGATTTACATTACAAGCATTTCCCTTGATGGAAAAGAAAGGAAGGAAGGAAGGAAGGAAGGAAGGAAGGAAGGAAGGAAGGAAGGAAGGAAGGAAGGAAGGAAGGAAAAAAGAAAGAAAAAAGGAAGGAAGGAAGGAAGGAAGGAAGGAAGGAAGAAAGAAAGAAAGAAAGAAAGAAAGAAAGAAAGAAAGAAAGAAAGAAAGAAAGAAAGAAGACTTGTAAAGCCAGATTATTAATGCCTGTGGGTCCTGACTCAGGGCTGGAAGAACACTGCCTAGCTTGTGGTTCCTGAGTGATTCTGAGATCCTAGTGAATGTGTCCAAGTCCTGTAGAGACGAGTAAGCACCAGCCTGAAGGAGTAGCCGAGTAGCAGCCCGCCAGACCCTGCCCTTCCTCAGGGCCATGAGGAACCAGTGACTCACAGCCAACTAGGCAGGTTTACTGGTGGGAACGTGATCAGTGATGCTCCAGGTCAGAAGGGACTTAGCGGGAAAACCGGACCTCTCCTGGTCTGTTTTTCCGAACAGAGAAGCCCCTAGACTGTGCTGGTTGCCATGTAGTCAAGGCTCCTTACTTCCAGTGCAAAGTCTGCTTAACAGCTGGTCCTTTCTAACCCAAGGACATGCTTATCCTGTCACTGGCTCTCCTCTATTGTTAGGGAAGTTATCTGTGGAGCCATTAGGACCACTGGAGACTTGACCCCAGAACTCCTGGCTGCTCATCTCAAGCTTCATGCCCCCCATACTATGAAAGTTGACTTAATATTCTAGATCTAAGTCCCACCCATCATTCTGACAAGTCTTATGTCCAGCAGGGCAGCAGAGCAAAGGTGAGGCATTACACGTGCTTACCTCCTTGATTTTCTCAGAGCTGATTGGCTTATTTTGGGTATCGATTGCTCCTTCAGCCACAATGATAATATTCAGCCTCTTTTTTTGGGCGCGGTTCTAAGGAAACAGAAGATTCAAACTCCTAAAATTTATAATCTGTATTTAATGACAACAAACCTGCGAAATGTGTCTGAAATGGAACTGGCTTCTTTCCAAGCAGAAATCATTGCCGAACTTGAAGTCTTTCGCAGTAACCACCAAAGTAGGTGAAAGGTGCCATGTGACACCTGAGTTAGTAGTCAAGGTGGCATTACAAGTACACATGAGAACATGGCTACGGTATGGTATATAAACATGTTGATTGATAGTGATCCGCACAGCAGTTAGCAAACACAGGCTGGACTCCTCAAGTTTTGCCTGCCCCAAACCATATTTTCTGTCTCTTTTATGTTTGAGATTTTTTTTCCATCTCTCCATGAGACCTCCCTAAACTCAGTCTTGTGAGGTCAACAATTCTCCCCCATCATGTTAGATAATACTGCACACTAACATGGGTAGCTGACAGGCAGGTACAGATAAGCTATCAGGGAAGAATATTGGAGTGTCATAAGACCCAAGCACTGAGTGCTTGTCCCCAGCCATGGAACTATTGGATGAGAATATAAGAGATGGAGCCTAGTAGAAGAAGGCTAGGTAATTGGCAGATGGTGTTTTGGGCGTGGGGGGGGGGGAGAGGGAGATGTTATGACCCCATCCTCCCTGGTGGTAGTTTAAATAGAACTGGTCCCCATAAGCTCATAGGGAGTGGTACTATCAGGAGGTATGACCTCATTAAATAAGTGTGGCCTCATTGAAGGAAGTGTGTCAGAGTGGGAAACATATGCTCAAGTTGCATCTAGTTCAGTTCACTTCCTGTTGCCCACAGATCAAGACGAACTCTCAACTCCTTTTCCAGCACCATACCTGCCTCCACACAGCCGTCATGCCGTAATGATAATGGACTAAACTTCTGAACTGGAAGTCACTCCAATTAAGTATTTTTCTTTTCTACGACTTGCCATGGTCATAGTGTCTCTTCACAGTAATAAAAACCCTAGCTAAGACACTATTAGTCCTTTTCCTTTCTTTTCTTTCTGATCACCATGAGGTAAACAGACCTCTTCTGTCCCGTAACTCTGTCATGATTCATGATATTATCACAGGGTCAACCACGTGATGAGACAAAATAAATGTTTTCCTTTACAGTTGACTTACCTCAGATGTTTACCTCAGGAACAGAAATCTAACACACACAGAGGTCTGACACACACAGTTACACTTATTTGTTATTTCCTGCTCTGGTACCCTGAGATCCAGATTTATGAACACTCTGGGACCCTGTCTTGTGTATTCACATCTCAGTACCATTTTATATAAACTCATAAAGTCACTCAAGGCTAAAATAAACCTAAGAGCACACGGCAACTAAATCATGGAATGGGTTAGCTCATTGTCAATGGATTTGCTTTCTATAAAATACCAAACAAAATATGGTCCCTTAGAAAAGTAGGGCACGAAGGAGTAGACTGATACGGATCAGAAGTATATGGCATCAAAGCCATAAATAGTTTTTTCTTGACTATGTTAGTTATGAAATGTGGCATGCTTTGAACAATGTGCTGATAAGAAATACCTTCTTTAAAATATAAAGGCATGAATACAGAGTAATTACCTTAGCATTGCTTCAAAGAGTACAGGAAGAACAATTCCTATAAATATGGGGCGGCTAAATAGGTGTGCTTAGTCACAAAACAATATTCTGCAGTGGTTAAAAGACAATGGAATCTGTGGCCTACGGAAACAGCTCTTTTGGTGAAACCCTTGCCTTTACAAGCATAACAACCTGTAGTTGATTCCCAGAACCTGTTTGGAAGAAAAAGGATGGAGAGAAATAATGGGGCAAGCTGGTAACTCTAGAGCTGGGCAAGAAGACAGAAGGAAGATCCCAGGGACTCACCAATTAGAGATCGTCCTTAAATGAGAAAAAGGGAGACAGCTTCTGAAGAACAAGACCCAAAGACATTTTCTTGATTGCTAATTGAGGTCGCAGGGCTATGACCACTGTGGGCAGTGACATCCCTTACATCCCTGAGCAGGTGGGTCTGGCCTGCATAAGAAATGTAGCTGCATATGATCCAGTAAGCAGCCTTTCTCTGTGCTCTCTGCCTCAGTTGCTGCCTCCAGGTTCCTGCCTTGAGTTCTGCTCTAGACGATGGATTGTAAGCTAAAGCTAACCCTTCTCTCCTCAAGTTCGTTTTGGTGCAGTGTTTTATCACAGCAACAGAGAAAACAAACTACAATATCTTCATACCTGTGTGTACCTGTACACACATGAACATACATGCATGGGGAATGCACACACAAACAATGGGATCTTCAATATATTTAAAAAAGAAGAAAGGCACCATGCCACTACAACTTAATGAGTGCCTCCATGTTTGGTATCTGAATTAATTGATCCACTGACTTTTACAAAGTCACTAAGGAATATAATAATTTTCCCATGTAAGAGAGGAGCACCTTTGGACACGGAAAGGTGAGGTTATTTGATCAAAGTCATCCTATTTGTAGTACAGTGCATATCTAGGCCAAGGAATTCTATAGCTTTGCAAAGCCCTTTATACATTTTACACTTATGTGCATATTATGAGGACTGTTTCTTAGACTAGAAAATCTTCTAGAATCTCGGGCAACTTCTGGCAGTATCATACTGGTAACCCATAAAAACAAATAAGATGTACAGAGATAGCAAATGTCTGCCCTAACTTAGCCAAAACTTGGGGGGTGGAAAAGCTATGCATCCTGGTCTTGTCCTACTTGAGAGCACACTGTAGGAAGTCTAGAATAGGTTTTCGGAAGGGATTACATGAAGAAATAGTCTTTAAATCTAAGAATATCTAGAAACTGAATGACCATTCCAACCACATAGACTGACTGCGCACTTCCTGTCAGCCAAGCCCCAATAGTCTTTCACATCTCTGAATCACTGCCCATACATCTGTGGCCTGTGACAATTCACTGCACAATCAGGCTTCAGGTAAGTCAGGAAGAAGACATAAGTGGACCAGATATGACTTCTAAGGAGGTAGAGACCACTGAGGTGATGTCCTGCGTGATGGCAATCCTCCGTCTTTGGGTCATACGACAGTGGCAGTAAATGGGATAACCTATCTTAATTAGGTATCTAAGTAATGCCCCCGGATAAGCAGGACCAAAGCCGAGGAAACTCTCTCCCCACGGCAACAGCCGCATTCTGGCCATCTACTATAGCTGGCTTATTTCAAGTTAAGGATGTTGAACCTCATTTATCTCACCATGATATAACTTTAATCAATAGCTTGCCACATAAGTTTTTATTTCAGCAAAATCTATTTGGTCCATGACTTGAATTATTGTCCTCCTTTGAGGCTGTTATTCAAAAGCAATGTTTTATTGCCCCCCCACACACACACACAGCCTTTCCCAGACAGTGCTTCTGTGCTTGCTGGCTGTAAATAAAATTGATCTGTGATATAATGCTTACATAACTTTCTTGTAGAGCAGTGATAAGATTGTTTCAAAAATAAGGGCGAGAAAAGTAGCGTCCTTATTAATATCTCTGCCCTGAAAGCTATGCATGCTCTTAAAGAGGCCCTCCCACATTGTATTAGGTCTTCATGGCGGATATCTGCCCTACCCTAATAAGCAACTATACTTCGAAGAACAACATACAACAGCCTCCTAAAAGGGAAAGAGAGGAACCTAGGTCAAAACAGTTAGGAAACAGAAGAATCTAAAAGTCCCCACACACCATGGAAAGAAATGTCACAACACCTCACCCCATCTGGAGGCGGGCGGGGAGAGGAGCAGGATTTAAAACTAGAGAGTCCAACACATGTCTGAGTTCAGTGATGAGGAAGTCTTGAACGGCAAACAAGAGTTGTCTCTGTTATCCTGATTTCACTTAATCACCACGATTGCATCTCGTGGTGCGAGAGCCACCTAGACACAGAACTACTGCTTTGAATGAAAGAGAATCAACAGCTCCAGCTGTTTCTCCATGGTAACATTGGAAAGAAAACTATACAGTCACAGGCTGCGTAGGCAGATCCTCAGCAGCAGGCTTGACCTCATTTTATGGGCAGCAAGCAAGTTTTCAAGTGTTCAAAAAAGCCATCCAAATTGGCCACCCCAAAAGGCCCTGTGGATCCTTACCCAAGCAACATATCCAGACTCCCAATTACCTCTGAGAGCTTCAGGCACATGTTTTCCTCCCAGCCTTCCTCGGGTGGAGACTCCGGAAGGAACACCCAGTCGGCACCGCAAGCCAAGGCGCTCACCAAGGCCAAGTAACTGCGTGGGAAAAGAGTGATTAATATCCAGGGAGGAAGGAGCCTGCTGGTAAGGCTTGTAGGCCACCCATGCTCAGAGACAACCTTGGGCAGCTCTGGCCTTTGCAACCATGGGCTTTATGGGCCCTCTGTGACTGCCCCCATAGCAACCAATGCATGGGGCAAAGTGCAATGTGGAGCCCTCACACAGGTGCTATGTAGGCTGTACCTACCAGGATGGTGTCTGCAGATACCTACCCACAGTGTCTCCCCATCACCTCCAGGACGAAGGTCCTCTGGTGGCTGGAAAAGCAGTACAGGGCACACGTTACCATTCACAGCAAGCAAGTGTACTTACAACCATGGCTGACAGACAGCCTGCTTCTCAACTACGGCTGGCACCAACTTCCCAAAAGCTGACTCACTTTCTACAAAAAGCAAGCTCTAATGCAAGTCTTTCAGACCTAAGAAGTAATGAGGCTTCAAGAATAACTGCATTTGGAGGGAGGTTTTTGTTTTCTGAAACATGCTTTGAAACACACTGACACTGAACTCTCTGTGTAGCCAAGGGTGGGTGACCTTGAGCTTCTGATCCTTCTGTCTCCACATCTAAGATGCTAGGTCTACAGGCAGGCAGTACTCCCTCCAGCTTATGTTGTACAGAAAATCAAAGCTAGGGCTTCCTGCATGCTAGGCAAGCACCATATGAACTAAACTACATCCTCAGTACCTGCTTCTAGTCACATATTGACACCCATCACTTGTTCCCAAAAACATCTTTATTCTTTTAAGGTTATTTCCTATGACCTTTTCTAAAAAGCATCACCATATACTAAGTTGGATACTTCTTCTTAAAGTCATGGGTCGGCCAGGTTCATATCTGCCACCTCAAAACTGGAGAGGCAACAAAGTTGGGGTGTCAAGTCCATTCTGGTCTACAGTGGGAAACGTAAAGCCATAGATTAGCTATATCCACATGAGCACATGAGCATGGATGCTCCTACAAACCAACTCCATCAACACATAGTGACTGATTTTCCTTACAGTGGAAAAATCCAACTGTTCTGAGCCATTCTTCCAGTGCTAAAGAGGTGATGGGTTTTCGCAGTGCCACAGAGTTCAGTGGACAGAGGGCAGCTAAGAACCAGACATATATACAAAGGACCCCTTGAAGCCCTAGCCTCCTTCAGTAACGCTTGTTCCAATGTTCCAAGCTTCACACTACTGATTCAAAATAAAAGGCCTATCCGACTTGCTATTTCCCAGGATTGTCATGAAAAGGCTCCCAGGACCTCCGTGATGCTCTAGAGAGATGTTAGTGATGCCTCCTTGTGGGTCTACATCACTGCAGATTAGAATGAGTGTTCTACTCACACTTCAATTCATCTCATCTATAGCTTAGAATCCTAAAAGTGACATTATAATGTCTCACTCCACTAACGAGTGTGCCGACCTCACTGAATGACTCTCTTTTTGTGTTATTCCATGAGAAGAGCCTGGGGGAGGGGGGCTTTAGATCATTATCGTTTCCTTCTGTTTTCCAGCTTCTTGCCCATAAGCACACTTAGAAAAATACGAACATGTCATCTGCAGAATGTGCAGGAGCCAGCAGTAATCACCTACTAGCTTCTCTAAGTCCTTTTACCTCTGGGCAGTGGTCATGATGGCATCAACAACTTCAATGATTCGGTGCAGAGCTGAATCTGTACCAATGGTCATGTCTGTGCCGCAGAAGTCATTGTCGATGGAGCCCACCATGCCCACCACATTGAGGTAGGAGTGCTTCTCCACTGCATCCTTATCGATCTCACCTGCATTGGGGACAAAAAACACACTTCACATTCGGGAAGAGCTGCCAGGTCTCCTTGTGCTCCGCCAGATGTGAAAGACAATGGCCACTGGATAGAAATCAAGTACTCTAAGCTCTGCTTTCTTATGAATTTCCCCAGAACTATACACACCCTGAATCAGTACACTGAAGGGATCACAGAAAATGTAAATTGGCACTGGGCATTAAGCAAGAACACTGAATTACTTTTTAAAAAAACTTTAAAAAAATCCAAAGTTTTCAATTTAAGATAAAAACTTAAATTTTTGTTAGCAATGGCTTTGGACAGTAATGACTTTCAATAAGGGTGCAGTGAGACAATGGTTTTATCCCGTAAAGATTTGTTTCTTGTACTTGTTTAATAAAATGCTGATTGGCCAGTAGCCAGGCAGAAAGTGTAGGCTGGGCAACCAAGCCCAGGCAGGAAGCAGAGGTGGGGCAATGAGAACAGGAGAATTCTGGGAAGAGAAAAGAGTCAATCTGCAGTCGTCATCTAGACATAGAGGAAGCAAGATGTGACTGCCTCGCCAAAAAAGGTACCAAGCCACGTGGCTAACACAGACAAGAATTGTGGGCTAATTTAAGTTATAAAAGTTAGTAAGAAGTCTGAGCTAATAGACCAATCAGTTTACAATTAATATAGACCTCTGTGTATTTTATTTGGGACTAAACAGCTATGGGACCCAGTGGGACAGAAACCTCGGTCAACATAAGGGCACATCATAATTTCATAATTAAGTACTTTAGAAATTTATGGTCACTTTAAAATCAATTTCTTAAAGATGCCCATAGAACTAGTTGGTACATGTGAAGCTAGAACACCTCTGAGATAAACACACCTGGTCAGGTAGTTCTGCACAGATGAGATTAGCATAGTGTATGTATGTGTGTGTGGAGGGTGCCTAGGCCTTTACCAATGGTCACCAATGGGTTAGTGAATTAAAAGATGGGTAAGGTCTCTCTGTTCTATTTCCTGAGTAGATTTGTCTGTCTGTTTTTCAAGGCAGGATTTCTCTGTGTACTTTTGGCTGTCCGAAAACTCGCTCTGTAGACCAAGCTGGCTTCTAACTCACAGAGATAGATTTTTGAAGGTTTCTTTTTGTTTTTTGATCTTTTTTTAATGAAATTTGAGGACGTGTTATCTAAAGCTTTCAATTTTCATGATGTTACTATTTGAGCAACACACCCTTGCGGGTTATACTTGATATAGAATTGGAACTATATAATAACAATATATTATCTTTAAAGAGACAGAGACAACATTTCATACAGAGTTCTCAGACATCCTTTCTTAAGTAACAGCAAAATTGATTTAAAATTAAAAATAAAAAAATGAGCAAAAACAGATCAGCATCTTCTAATTAAACTCTTGCAACAAGTAAGTTTGGAAACATCCCAGCATAGCAGGAGGGACCGCAGTGTGAAGGCGTGGAAGTGTGGGCATTGACATCAAAGAGCCGTTATGCACCCAGACCATGGTCACAGTTGCTTGGCTTCCCCTGGGCCATGTCAATTGGAAAATGGGGGTGTATATGGCTGCCATCATGAGGGATTCCATAGGCCTAGCACACAGTAGGGCTTACTGTCATTACTGCTCCTATCTGAGGTACAGATTTAAATCCTGTGGTGCCAAATCCTGAAATAAGACCACAGCCACAATTCGACTACAAGAGAAAAAAAACCAAAATGGGACCGGGTATGGTGCACACCTTTAACCCCCAGCACTTCGGAGGCTGATACTGTGCATCTGTCTCTATGAGTTCAAGGCCAGTCTAGTCAAGACCCCATCTCAAAAACTAAAATGAAATAAAAATTAAAAAGTTGGTTGGTCCACCCACTTAGACAGTGTGCCTGCTCTGGTAGGTGCTCACCAAATCCAGCTGGACTGGGACTGTATGAGCATGTGATCAAACCAGACTCTCTGAATGTGGCTGACAATAAGGGCTGACTGGGAAGCCATTGATAAAGGCACTGGGACTTGTTTCTACTGCACGTACTGGCTTTTAGGGACCCTAGTCTATTTGGATGCAGGGCTTCCTGGGCCGGGATGTAGTGGGGAGGGCCTTGGACTTCCCACAGGGCAGGATTCCCTGCCCTCTCTTAGGGAGGGAGGGAGAGGGAGGAGGGTGATTGGGGGAGTGGGAGGGGATGGGAGGAGGGGAGGAAGTGTAAATTTTTGAATGGAAAAAAAAGTTTTGCTAAAGCAATTTAGTCTTAAGCCTGTTTCGTCACAAACAGAAGTTTTTGGTTAAATAAACATTCTTTTAATTTAAAAAAAAAAGTTGGCTCAAAAGTATGTATGCTCATGCCAATTATCAATAAAATTACTTCTATTTTTGCTCCCTTAAAGAATGTGTGACTTTGCAAGTTCCTGAAAAGCAATGGCAAGGAAAACGTGAAGCAGGTAACTCCGTGAAAGGCGTAAACAGAAACGGGAACATACCATTCTTAGCCAGCTCCTCCAGCAGTCCATTCCACTCCTTCCGAAAGAGGTTGGCTCCTGTGAGACTTCCGTCCCCACCGATCACGCATAGGTTGGTGATGCCCAAACGCACCAAGTTACAGGCAGCTTTCAGGCGCCCTTCCCGGCTGCGAAAGGCCTGGCAACGGGCACTGCCGATGATTGTCCCACCCTGGAGAGGACATAAATTACACTCACTGACAGGAAGCCCAAGGGATCGGCACAGGAATGGATCGACTACATATGTAGAATGTTCCACGTGTTTCCCTCATTTTCATCTCTGCAATCAGTCTACTGTCAAAGTCCGAGTGCCCCACTGAAAATCCATGAAGAAACGCGCTGGCCTAGTGCCCATGAAAGATAAATGGGGGGACAGAGCAAATGTCTACAGGGTCACCGCAGCCTCCCAGCTTGTCTGAGTCAAAGCAGTCCCAATAGGAGATGACCAGGTACACACAGAGGGAAAGATATGCCAGCACTTCACTGGACATCAGTCATTATCTGAAGAGCAAACCTGCCCTGCCTCAGTGACCTGGTTCTCCTGTGTGTCAGACCAACGAACCAAAGGATTATGAAAGGTGTGCAGCACCCATGATTGCACCTAAAGCTATAGTCCTGGAGTGACTGCCCCCACAAGGGTCAGGACTATATCCAAAGATGAGAATGAACCTGTGCCTCTCAGCAAACCTGCCATTCACAACCACGAGTGCATTTCCTTGTTTGCTATCTCTATCGCAACAGCAAAGTGAGAATGTTCTGTGTTGGTAACGAGCTAATGTCTGGGAAGCATTACTGGCCTAATTATGAATGGGTCAAACGTCTTTCACTCTCTTTCCAGGTACGTAGCAGAGCTAAGAACTTGCCAAGTGCAATCTTAGTCTTCGACAGCTGTTGAAGTGCACACCCCCTTAGCACCTTCAGTGTGGTTTTGCCAATTTTACTTATACTAAAAAAGTATTCAAGCCGGGCATCGTGGCTCGCACCTTTAATCCTAGCACTAGGGAGAGAGAGGCAGGTGGACCTCTGTGAGTTCCAGGGCAGCCTGGTCTACAGAGCGAGTTCCAGGACAGCCAGGGCTACACAGAAAAACCGTGTCGTAAGAAATGAAAATAAAGACTCAAGATGAGTCAGAGATTAATCCTTAGGTTCTAGAAGCTCAAGTCACAAATAATGAGCTTTTTATAGTCTTTTCTTTCTTCAGCATCTCTTTTTCTCAACTAATTTGAACCTTTCTTAAGTCAAAATGTTTCAGGAGTAAATGAGGCATCCTGGACAGATTTCTTTTAAATTCAAAGCAAGCAACTGTTTTGCCTGAAGCAGCGATTACTTCTTCCTTGTGCACAACACAGAGATTAGCTGAGTCTACTTCAAGCTAGAGCAGGGATGAAGTGCCCTGTTAAATCCAACTCTAGGGGGCTGCCAGGCAGAATCTTTCCCCAGCTTTGTTTCACTCGGTGCCAGGAGATATGTAAAAACCCACTGGGCACAGAGATTTGCCAAAAGCACATGGCACCAGCAAATTGAAGTAACCTCTACATTCCTCTGCTCAAAAAAAGAAAGAGAGAAAGAAAGCAAAGAAAAAGAAAAAGAAAGGAAAAGAAAAGAAAAGAAAAGAAAAGAAAAGAAAAGAAAAATTCCAGAAGTAACACAATGAACAATAGCTGAGGCTGAGACATACAAGCCATGTATTACAAGGATACTTCCTGAGTTAAGGTAAAGCTGATGTTTTTAAGACTTAATAAAAGGGCCTGGAAGATGACTCAGTGGTTAAGACTGCTTGCTGTGTAATCATGAGGACCAGAGTTCAGATTCCAGCTTCCATGTAATATGCCAGGTATTCTGCAAATGGCTATGACTCCAGTTCCAAAAAATCCAATATCCTTTTCTGGCATTCCTGTGCACAGGTGCACAGACAAGCACACGCACTCATACAGGTACACACATACCCACATGAAATATATAATAATGAAATGACCCATACTGTTGATTGAATGTGAAATAGATCCCACAGGCAGCTGTGTCTGAAACCTTGGTCCTCAAGTAGTAATGCTACTGTTTGGGAAGAATTGTGGCTGCTTTGACACTGGCTGAGGCCCAAGTGGGTGATAACTACCTCAGCTTCTGGCCCCGGCTCTCTGCTTCTGATCTGCCAAGGTGTGAGAAGCCATGGAAGAATCTGCCTCTGCTACAAGCTTGGCCATGAGCCGCCTGCCACCATGGGCTGCACTGCTTGGCCCCTCAACCTTGCTCTCCTGAGGTGAATCCTCTGAATCATGGACCAAATAAATCCTCCCTCAAGTCCCTTCAGTCAGATATTTGTCACAGAGACAAGAAAAAGGAACACAGTAAGCAATGGGTGTTTTCTGTCCTTATAATTACTTTACTGCTTATAATTGGCCAGCTAATAACAATTACATAATAATATAATAGTTTGTTAGTTTATAATTAGCTAGCTGGAATGGGAACCCACTTTAGAACTTACTGAAGCTTAATCATAAAATGTTTCAAACGAAAATGGTGACATTAATACAGAGAAATAAAGAACAACATGGTACCTACCACTTGTAGAATGCTGGAGACACTCTCCCAGTCAGCTTCCACAATATTAGAGCCTCCATCCACCATGCCTTGGTAACCCTGGATGTGAAAAGATAAAGGTCTACTTAAAAAGATGCTGGACTTCACATGAACTTACATAGACCCACAATTTATACAAAACAGAAAGACAAGTGGCAATGAGCCTAGTTTTCAAGGTGACTGTTAGGAGACAGTGCAATGCAAGTGCAATGCAAGTGTTGCCTAAAAGTAGTAAACCATGGTTTTTTAAAAAAAAAAAAAGATAAAAAAACAAAGAAAACTATCCCTAGAAAATTCGCTTCTACGAAGCCTGGAAGCAGTGGCCCGGGTGCATGATGGGTCCATGTGTTAGATCCTAGTCTGCACTGTGAAGAAATGGAGTCTACCTAGAGTGCCAGGGTCTTCATCCAAATTCACATGCTTCTGAGCCAGAAAGAAAACAGTGAAAGGTGCAGCCAGAATGGCAGCCATAACTCAGGAGCAGTCTCAAAAGACCAGGACACAGCATTGTCCCCACTGAAGGACTTTGACAATGGAACATGAGGACCCGCCAAGTTCCCACACAAAGGGCCATTGCAGCAAGGTCTGACATTCAATGGTAGGGTAAAATAAGAGACCCATGGAGAGAAGGTGGTCACAATTTGCACACCAAAGAGGACCAGCTAGAGGTCAAAAAAAAAAAAAAAATTCTGAGTGGACAGCCTTGTCTTGTTCCTGATTTTAGTGAGATTGCTTTCAGTTTCTCCATTTAATTTGATGTTGGCTGTAGGCTTGCTGTATATTGCCTTTATTGTGTTTAGGTTCATCCCTGGTATCCCTGATCTTTCCAGGAGCTTTAACACGAAGGGATGTTGGATTCTGTCAAAGGCTTTTTTCAGCATCTAACGAGATGATCGTGTGTGAGAGCTGTGGTGGGGTGTGTGTGTTTCAGTTTATTTATACGGTGGATTACATTGGCTGATTTTCATATATCGGACCATCTCTGCATCTATGGGAGGAAGTCTACTTGATCATGGTGGGTGACCTTTTTAATGTACTCTTGGATTTGGTTTGCAAGAGTTTTTGTGTCTCTGTTCACAGGGAAATGGGTCTGTGATTCTCTTTCTTTGTCAAATCTTTGTGTGGTTTGAGTATCAGGGTAACCGCGGCCTCATAAACTGCATTTGGTAATTTTCTTCTGGAACAGCTGGAGGTCGAAGAGCATCCTGAGATTGTCTCAGAGCTGGATTCAGGTAAACCTTTTGTAGCATCACTGTTCACAGTATCCCTGCAGCATCCACACTCACAGAACTGCTCCTCACACAAGACACTACAGGCTATTTTACTATTTAGTCATGCCACACAGTGAACAGAAATGTTCCCTTTCCTCTTACGCTTTTCATTTAAATGTTGGGTTTTGTTTGTTTGTTTGTTTATTGACACAAAGTCTCACACGGCCCAGATTGGCCTTGGATTTACTGCGCAGCTGAGGATGGCCTTGAACTTCTGATGCTTCTGCCTACAGCTGCCAAGTACTGGGGTTACAGGTGTGCACTGCACTGGCACACCCAGTCTTATTTGGTGCTGCGAATTGAATTCAGGGCTTCCTATGTGCTAGGCAAGCATTCTACCAACTATTTTACATACGGGTCCTAAATACTGATTTGATATTTAAAATGTGTTGGATGGTTTGCTTAGAAAACAAGGGAAAATGCTCTACACACCTTAACACATTTAAAGGTGCTTGCAATAATAATTTAAATATTTTGCAAAGTCTAGATATGTATGGTGAAAGAAGCAATCAGAAATCCCAGAGGAGAATGATTCAACTACTCTTGCATTTAAATCATTTAAAGTTACCACTGTACATGTGGTAACTTGCTGGGAAATGACTCATTCTTTAGTTTGCAAAGTCGTCGTGCTCACATCACATTAGAAAAATCACTGCCACCTGCAGCTTTGAGCTGCTTTTACTCAAAAGAAGCGACTGCCAATTAGGAGAACTAATTTTACCCTAATTTATTATCATGTAGAAAGTGAGTTCATTTTTTTTCTATTGGGAAAAGCACTTATCCTAATGTCGCCAAACCACTTTCTAAAATTCCATTTTGTACTCTGCCTTCAAAGCCAGTTTCATGACTCACCTAAGAAAATCAAACCATTGAGCCTTTCAAAATCATACTAAGTTCTTAACCAAAGAAGCCACTCTACCAGCTTTGTTTACTCTACTTCAGAAGATGATCCTAAAGAGACCCATCACCCACCAGAATTTCTCTTATCACATCATTCACTGCCATGACAACACAGGTCATGCACAGGCTCTGATTTATACTGAACAGCACTTGACTGAACATCAGTGGCCCCCAACCGACTCTGAAGAAATGCACTGCTTTATTTAGGAGACCTTTGTGGCCACTATGCTTAGCCACGTGTTGACCCCACCATAAACAAAGCAAGACCCAGTCCACTCACTCCAAGTAATCAAATTATTATTTGAAAATTAAAGGGCCATATGGAAAATTATCATCTAATATTAAATCAGGCCTTTTCCTTTCTTAGTCTTGTTGGATGGATCTATGGTCAGTTAAAGTGTTATATTATTTGTGTTTTAATAAATAAAGCTTGCCTGAAGATCAGAGGGCAAAGCAGCCACACTAGTCAGCCACACAGGCCAGGGAGTGGTGGCACACACCTTTGATCCCGGGACTCAGCAGACAGAGGCCCACAAATCTCTGTCAATTCAAAGCTACCCTGGGCTACACAAGATCAATCCAGAAACATATCCAGGTGGTGGTGGCTCACACCTTTAATCCCAGTGTTTGGGAGTCACACACTTTTAATTCCAGCACTAGAGAGGTGGAGACAGGAGCACCTGTCTGGGCAGAGAGAGGAATACAAAGGGGAAGAGACAGGAATTCGTTGGATTGTGGAGTCTGAGGATTTGTGAAGACAGAATCTCATCCTTTTGGTCTAAAGATTTGGTAGAAGCAAAAAGTCTCTCTAGCAGTTGGCTGCTTTGCTTTCCTGCTCTTCAACTTGAACCCCAACATCTTGTCTCTGGGTTTTGATTATTCATGTGACAGTAGGTTTCTTGTCACCTGACAGATTCACCTGTCTCAATGTGAATTTCTAAATTTTTCTGGTACAAAAAATGCTTGAGGGCAGGAATGTTGAGAGTCTCTGAATAGCTATTTGATTTTTATATTCATATATTTATATTAGTAAAAACCATTGGTCAAAACTAGCTGCTCAAAAAGGGGGGGCCACAAAAGTTCCCTGTGTCTATGGTTTTCTTTTTTCTTTTCATGGTTTGAGACAGGCTTTCTCTGTTGTAGCTTTGGCTGTCCTGAAACTCTGTAAACCAGGCTGGTCTCAAACTCACAGGGATCCACCTGCTCTGCCTATCGAGTGCTGGAATTAAAGGCAGCATTTTTCTTTATTTTTAAGACTTTGTTCCATTTGTGTGTGTGTGTGTGTGTGTGTGTGTGTGTGTGTGTGTGTGTGTGTGTAGGTGTGTAGGTACTCTTAGAAACCAGAAAAAAGCATCAGATACCCTGCAGTTGATGTTAAACATAGTTGTGAACCTACAGAAGTAGGTGCTAGGAACCGAACTGCAGGCCTCTATAAGAGTAGTAAACACTGTGTGGGATTTTTAATTTAAATATATATTAAATTATAATTTCTTTATTTTCTTTCTTCCATTTCCTCCCTTCAACTCTTCCAATCCACCCCTCCTATTGTTCTCTCTATATTTGTATTTGTGTATATGTGCATATGTCTATGAATATATATTTATATATTCCTAAATGCATAAATATAACCTGCTCAGCCTCTACATTACTAGTGTGTATATGATTTCAATAGACATGCTAACACAAAAATTAGAAATCTAATAAGGCCCCAACCTTACACAAAGAACTATAGGCAACTAAGGAATTCAGAGTGTAGTAGTCTTCCCTAGGGAATAGCCTCCAAAGTGGTTGTCCGATACCATGTGCTCAGCCTGAAATCACGCACTTACAAGCAAGTGATGGGTCATTTCTCTAGTCCCACCCCCCTTTTTTTTTTCCCAAGATAAAATCTCACTTTATATCCCAGACTTGTCTGGAGGCCAAGTTAGCCTCAGAATTATCTGGATCCTCTTACTTCATTTTCCTGACTTCAGATTCACGGGACTCCTCCTGTTTCAGATTCCGAGCCCATGGAATTACTGGCATGAGCCAGGGTTACCAGTGATTTTTGAAATTCAGGGCCTAGGCTTAATTTTGCACACAGGAAAGGTCCACACAGAATCTGAGACTGTAGAGTCTTTCGTTCCCCTGCCTAGAGGGCTGTGATCACCTCTCTGCCAAGGCTCTGAACTAAAGTAAAGAACTTCACAGTCAGCCCATTAAAAAAATGTTCTCAGTGGCTTAATTACTTCACGGAAAATTCCTACAGAGAAAGAAGCCATAGTACTTGTCCTTGGTAAGGCTGGGTCAGCTCTAAAATAGGTTAGAACATGGCAAGCCATTATATAGCCCTGTACTTGAAGCATGAGCAAACAAACCGCTAATACACTGACTTGATTTATTTCGTCCTCTGGCCTCATTAGATTCCCTTAAGCCAAAGCTAACAGTGCCCAATTTCGAGAATGCTATCAACCTAACCGTCACAGCAGGAAGGAGGCAGGTCATCCTTCCTCCAGGATAGCAGTCAAATTTACATGGGGTGATTATGACATCCTCAGTGGACACTCACTCAGCCTCACTGTGACCGACCACCACGGTGACAGGGGAGATGGCAGCACTGGGCGGAGGAAGTCCATCCTCTTTTGCAATGTGACAGTGCTGTGTGTTTGGACTGTCTGAAACTGTCACAACAATGAGATGGCTATGGGGATGATCAGGTCAGAAACGACATATGAATTTAGTGTAAGACCTAGCATAGTTTTAGCACTTATTAAAAAACGGTACTTACACCTGCAACTATTATCATTACCAAGACATATCCTGGCCAGTGTTCCAGGCAAAAGAGCAGGAATTCATCATATGGATTGGCCTTTTATAAGTCAGTGCAAGTCAACCAGCGCTCTTAAGAGT